CCTTGTGGATCAGAGGGAGATTTACCACCATGTGACTTTGATGCTAAGACGGTGGTGGATCCTAGTATTGGTTTACTCTTAGCTGGGCTTCCTGATGGAAACGCCAGACTCCTTCCCAGCTTGGAAGACCCTGCCGGAGGGACGAATTCCTCCGCTGTACATCGCAGTCCGACACTCAGGAACACCTCGCAGCCACGATGAGGCAGTAGACCATTGGGAGGATAGGTCATATATGCACTTAATACCGATGTTCAAATATTTATTTGGATACTTGCACGGGCCGTCCTCACTTTTTGTGGGTGGGCCCTAGGATAACCTGAGTTGTTCGAAGTTTAGTCGGTTTAGCTATTGCGTTTACTTGGAATCCCGAGGTTAGCTTAACCAGTCTGCCGCACCCCTTGCCGATCAGAGGAAGATTTGCCACCATGCGACTAGTTTGATACCAGGACGGTGGTCGACCCTAGCATTGCTTTAATCTTAGGTAGACTTCCTGATGGAAAATCGGTACTCATTCTTTCTCAGCTCTGGAGACCCGGCCGAGAGGACGAATCTTCCCGCTTTACAACGCAACCTGACACTCAGGAACACTTCCCAGCCACGTCGAGGCGGTAAACCTTTGGGAAAGATGACTTAATTATGAGAACGAAAATATACGGCTCCAATCTTTTTGCAACCCAATGAGAAAAATGTTTTCAATTGCAAGACACGTCCTCTTCAAACACGTTATTGTTGGGTCAATCGGATAAAGCGTAGCATTTTGACTGAAAACGAGTGCGCAATCGAGTTAGCGATGGTGGCCAGCGTTCACCAAGATTACAGAATGAACCAGGAAAAAAACTTGCAAGAGTAGCTAACGTTTCCATGGATCCTTCTACACGGTGCAGAACAGCGTTCACATGAACAAAAATTATTCATGGTTTATTTTCCGTACAAAGAAGGAAATTTAGGCACTGAATACTAACAACCCAAATACGTTAGATTTCTCTCACCATCTACACACAAATAAAAAGTCCATTCATTGAAAACCATTTCAAAAAACACCAACTATTATTGATGCGATCTTTGCAATGGTTGTCAGTTCTCCACAAAAGACTCCATGAAATAACCGAAAGTGGCTCTCCAAAGGCCACCTGAAATAGTCGGATTGAAGTGCAGAGTCAAACTGCGAGGCGCCAAAGAGGCTCCCACAGAAAACAAGTCATGCAAAAGAATGATTTTATGGAACTGTTATTTCGGCTGTGTGAAACCACACTGTTGATCGATTTCTCTTCGTTTCCCTCCAACTTATTGTTGACATGGGGTACATCTCTTACAGATGGTGTCTATTTATAATCGCTTGACGGCCGGAATTCCTCGCTTAAGGTGTGTTTTAATGAGAAAAGGCGAAATCACTTAAATCGCGTTTATAACACTGTCGACAGCTGGTGCTACAGCTATTTCACTATCCTCTTCAGAAATTGTGAAGTCTCCATGTGTGGTTTTCTTGTTCACCAAAACAATGATTTCCTGAAGAAAAAAAGAAAAAGGGAAACGACAAGAAACCTTATAGACGACCAAACCTGTCTCATAATTATTTTTACTTTGATTACTGCTTCTTCTAGGAAATAATACCTACTTTTTCAGGAAGTCGAGGTTCAATCCGTTAATGTCTACTACTAGTAACGTCAAACCAGTTTGAAGAACCACCGCGACAAACGTGTTCCAGCCAAATACGCGACCGTTGTTGATGGAACGAAATTCGTGGGCGATATTGTAGCTGAAAATAAAGATAACAATTAGCGAAGCTTCAGTATAAAAGTCATAGAGAATTTTCGAAAGACTATCTCCATCATCACAGAAAAAATGCTCTCATATTTATATTACTGGGAGTCACAATAATGATATCAATAAATGATGTCGATATGCTTATTTGAATCTATTTTTTTCTCACATTAGTTGCTCACCTTCCATATAATTAATACTCTACTGGAAGGAGACATCAAGTGCAATTCAGAGGACGGGATTCCTCGTATACGAAGGAGCGCCAAATGTGAATAGTTGGATATCCCTAATCGAAATCGACACGAGGATTGATCCGTTCAAGACTCTGGTTTCCTATCAGTAGCATCATATGAGGGTTCATCGGTTTCAAGAGATTCTGGCCTCTTATAGGTAGCAATCTAGTCTTCAGCCGACAAGCCAACTTTCACCTACGAATGACTGCAGTAACCATCTCAAAAGACCACGGTTAGGCTACCCCGCTACTTAAAAAAACATAAACGGTAACAAACAGATATGCACTCTTAAGGAACTATAACATGTAACAAACAGATGCACTCCTACCGCCGTGCCGTCTACTACTTCATCCGGTAAAATATTTACGACATATCAATGACAGCGTTCCTCGTTGTGAACTCCTATCACGAGAACAGTATCCCCAACTGACGCCAACGTTCATCTTTCTAATAGAAGGCAACAACAAATGACGACTAACGATATACGATTACCACACCTATTATATCGATGCTGGTAAAGCATCGTCACAAAATGTCGGTGGAGTGCGTGTTTTGTGCACTTGTTAAGCGCAAATTTTGCCAATACTCACGAGAGCCTCCCATTACGTATGGCTACAATGCATCCTCAACTTGCATTCTAAGTGAAAACACTTCCCTAAACTTTTACCAATCTGCAGCTGATGAATACGAAACAGATGCTCAATGTATTGAGGTAGCTGTCAGCATAGAAAAGTCCTAAAAATTCAATGGTTGAAATCATAATAATGCTGAGATATCTCGAAAATGCTGAGATATTTGCAAAACTGCGAACCGGTGATGTCTGCCGTGGGGATCGACCACGGCATTATCCTTTCCGGGGACTAACGCGTTCTCCACGACATAATGCGAGTCCTTCGTCTCGCTCTTCTAGTGAATGCTTATAGTCTAAAGCGAGACTCAAATGAAGGATAAACCCTCCCTGGCCAGGAGTGGATCCATTGAATGCCTCTTCTACAAAATTACAGTTTTTCGTAAGCATGGAAGTTGTCCCAAAAGATAGAATTTCACAGTCACACAGAAATGTATGAGATCAAAAGCATCCGCATAAATAATGTATAATATTTATTGCATTTATTTGAGGCCTTAGCTGGTTATTACTTGGTACGCCTGAATATTTCCCTTCGAAATGTCGATTGAGCTATAGGTAAACCAAAAAGAAAATCCTGTAATCAAATCAGAAGAGAAAGATAAGCGATGCATGAAAACACCTTCAGCTAAGATCTCCAACTGAAGAGTATAAGATGGCTGCCAAACAATTGAGTTTGATGTGATCTTAACACAGCGAATATAAGTGCCAACTAATGACGTCGTCTGTAGCAAAACTGACAAGCGTATACGGAAAAGATGTTAGAAGTTCGAAAAAGAATTACCAAATTAACGTTCGGACCCCTGCGAATACAATACTACATCAGCACTGTCAAACGAACGGGATATTTCAACCATCTCCATGACCTGGGAATCGCGAACGACACACATCCCATACAAATACCACGCTGGCAAAAACAGCTGAAGAGATCTGCAATTATTAGCACTTATTGAGTCCGCCTAATGAACTCCTTACGAAGCTTATCCTATTATCCTTAGATTTCACCGAGCGGTTTAGTGGGAAGAGGAATGCTTGTGATGTCCGCTGTAGTGTAGCCGTAATGGCCCTAAGAATTTTTGGACTCCTGATTTCTCTTTTCCTTCATGTACATCAAAGCAATTACTGAGTTTAAAGTAACAAATACACTTGTGGTATTGTCGTAGAAGAAAACTAGTGTGCCGAAACTAAGGCAGTGCAACAGAAGTCCATCGACAACCTGCCTCCTACGCCAGTCGAAAAATTCGGTTTTGCCCCACACCAGCATACGCCTTCACACTTGACATACGATAACATAGATGATGAATACGCGGAGTAAAAAGCTATTGCTATTAGGACTGATAGCTCTATGGCCAATGGCACCTGCACAACTAGACAACTTTTCTCCTAATAAAATATTTGCCATGTTAGTTTCGACAGTTATGACGGACCTGTGGAAACCAACTTTTATGTAAGTGGAACATCTGTGGTACTTCACAAAAAAAGATAGCAGAGCGCCTGAAAATATTAAGCAGGATCCAAATGAAGTTCAAATTCGGGACATGTTGAAGTGCTTTCAAATGTTCCAAGTTTATATATATATATATATGTAAATGTATATATATATGCATATATATATATATAATTGGACTGAAAAACAAATTTTAAGGCGCACCTGTGACAGGATTCATAACCTCTACCAGACCACTGTTTACATCGCTCGGATCCAGCTGCATCTCAATTCAAAGAGATTGTATATAGTTGTACACCTGAACAAAAATTATTGACAAAAAGAATGATAGCCTATTTAGGAGCTTCACGTCGATTTCTCCGTTTTACTGTTTTATCCTCTTTGCTTGTAGTTCCCGTAAGATGACTTATTTGGTCAAGAATGAGGATAAAAACCGAAGCAACGAAAAGATTATAAGACGGCTGAGGTTTAAGGACAAAATAAAATGGTAAAAACCAAATTATCTTGTGGAACTGAGCATCTGGAAAATTCCAAAGCCTGCGAGAGCCCACCATGGAGACCATTTGAGTACCACCATCATATTTCAGAATATCTTGAAGCTCTCGAACATATTGACGAAATAATTCCGCATGTCCCATTTCGGGTTATCGCGAAAATCTTCGTTGAACCTAAAGGGGCTGACTGATTTTGCGATGTGAAGGCCATAGTACACAAATATTTATAAAAGTTACGTTGATCCTTGTTTTCAAAGTCGCTTATCCAATGTCTAACTTTCCAACGAGTCACTCTGAGTCTCGCGCTGACCAGACCGTGATACAGCGGGAGGCAGTACTAAAGCGATGAAAGAAACACAACAGCCACCAATGATATCTAGAAAACACTTATGTTATGCTAGAACGAGTACTAAGGATGGAATTCTACCTATGCTGCCAAGTGGTTACCTAAATACTTCGGTGGTGTCGGAAGAAGTTTCACATTATTACAAAGCTCATAAAGTTACGAAACAGTGGAAAAGTATCGAAAAAAAAGTACTACGTGCGCTAAAAGTTTGCTTTGGCATTTCATAAAAATCTAGTAAAGCAATACCATGTTTTCACATCTGATTCAGTGTCAAATATGTAGCAGTTTCGGGGAAATGGGGACATGAGCCAAGCTACACGCCAACAATTTTCTTGTGAGATCAGCACTACGATCGTATGACGCCACACGGCGATAGCTCCTCTCATTTACAATCGCATACAGGTACGAGTAGCACGCCACTTCTGCAGCTGAAGCAAAACCTGAAAAGAAGTGAAAATGAATAATATACTGCGTCTGCTGGGGTATTAAACCGCGGCCACTTTTCGAGCGCGACAAAAACAAAACTCGTAGAAAAAGAGACAAATGACGTCATCGTCCGATTATCTATAGACAATTGTCGAACAATGAGTCCATAAAAGCAATCTGAATTCAAAAAGAAAACGTTGTACAGCATCAACGCACCGAAAGCAATTTGCATAAGTCGCATTTGTACTATGCCTTCCCTCCAAACAAGAATTTAGGTTAACGATAGACACGCGTCCTCAAGCACAACCACCAGTTTGTAGCGAAGAATATCCGTCAGGGAGAATACAGGTACCTGCAAACACACAGCAGTTGAATACATTTCAAGAGTTTCAAAACATAGCAAAGTTTGCAACCTTAGTCGAATGGTACTTATCCACATGAACAGACTATACATTTCATACGTTGACAAAAAGAAGGTAAAGAGGTCATTAACTAAATTGAACGAATTGTCACCAAAACTCAACCACCCCACAACTAACAAACTCTTACTTGACAAGAAACGTCTGTACAATCTCAGCACAAGCTAAGTGACTGAAATGTAGCAAACATAAATACAACTAGCATGGGAACGCTCTAAATGGTCATGCACTTTGAGCAGCTAAGCTAGCGAATGGCACGAAAAATGGCATGTAAGAATAGGTCCAAAACGAAAAGTTAATGCCATAAACTTTATCCAGAGTAAACTTTTTATAGGGTGAAACCAAATAAGGTGTGGGGAGAGCTGTGGGTGGTCGAAATCCCTTCGTGATACCATAAACAAGAAAGCAGAATTGTGGTAGTCTTCTAATGCATAGCGACAATCGAATAGATGCTGGGGTAAAATCAGAACGCGAATAAGAGGTCGAAGCTTTAGATATGTTAATATTTAAAATGATATGGATATGACATTGCAAACATCTTTGTAAAAGCCGATAACTGTATGAGCAAACATAAGCACACCCAAAAAAGATCCAGTCTTTCAGTTTCAAATTCTCCTTGCAAATTGTGACCTTCAGTGAAATTTTTCCGAAGCCATACAAGGCAGCTTTCTCACTATGACGACATTGGAAGAAGGAATGAGACTTTGTTGCGAAGACAAATGGTTTAGTTAAGGCAGCAATTTAGAAGAGTTAACGAAGAAACAAGTCGCTGCTTAACCTTGCGCAGATAACCCCACTGCCAATTGCCGAGTGACGTCGGCAGGTGGAAGAACTCGTCGGTTGTGAGTGTGGGTACCACTCCTACGATTCGTAAATTCTTATTCAGGTAGCCAGCCATGTGAGCATCTCTGGGATCTCCATTAATTCGACCGCCAAATTGGTTCAGTGGGCTCAGCACAAAGGAGATGAACAGCATTGCTTTTTAGAACAAAGCCTTTCATTCTTCCTATTTGGACAAAACAAACAACTAAGGATAGCTCGACTAAACTCTCCTGCTGGCGTAAGTCAACTTTTATATGGGTTTCTGAATGGAAATTCTGGACTACTCACATTTATAAAGCCTATTGCAGATGAACTCGCCGCCACACGTCGCCGTTCGACACCACCGAACGTCTCTCTAGTTCCGACCACCTGGGCGACATTGCGACGAGTAGGTGGACGACGACGAGTGCATGCGAAGTGAAACATGGCCGAGTATATTCTTTTCATTTAGTTGTATGAAAAAGTTTGTGGTGGGGAAACTTAACGAAGGATGAGGAACGAGCAACACCGATTTCGTTCGAATATTACACAACTTCAATAGCGCCTTTGCAAACACATAACGGTTCTCGCAGTAAAGATGATGTAGTGAGAGCCAGTTGAACACCAGAAGTTCGGTAAGAAAAGCACAAAATGTCTCCCATTACCGTTTTTTAATCAAATAAATAATGAAATCGATTTTTAACATCTGCAAAGTAGATGACGTCATGCGAAAACACTGAAGTTTGTTAGAGAGCGGCTATTTCTCGCAACCATTACAAACCCACAAAGGTCTCCAGTTCTTAAAAAGAAGTATGTACGTGTGAGGATCGATGACGACGTTCTCAAACGTACGTTTAGAAGCGCAATGACCGAATAATCAACGACTTCGGCATTCCCTACCTAACGAAGCAGTCTAGTGGTCCTCATAAGTCCTCCTCTACCAATACAAGGAAGAAATACAAGTAACACAATACAACTCCTGTACTGCACCGACACATGGATCAGCACAAAGGTGAGCATCGCTACAGAAACCAATACAACAGAGAAACGCACAGATATCCAGCCTCCCTTCTCACCTCAAGGTCGAGGTTTAAACAACAAAGGAAGAAAAGAGAAGAGAAACTCGCCCGTGGTGGCGCTCTGTGTTGAGAAGAGGATGGAGTGAAGCCGTGCGTCCTGAATATATTGCGAGCCATCGACGACTCTCTATGGGTTACTGGAACTTAGTAATTGTTAAAGAGTAATATCCTGACAGTAATTGACATCTTTAGGTAACACTGAAAAATTTTTGATCACGTACACTAAGATTCGCTACAGATGAGAAGTTCGACAGTTCCAAACAACATGAAAACACCACAGATTGATAAAGATATTTTGAAAACAACCAAACAATCCTTCCCTCACTTTCCTTGAGTTTACGCGTTTACGCAATACTGCACAAATCATCTTTTGAATACCGTAACTTCCGCCGGATAGCTGTGGTGTTCGAAGAGGTCAGTTTTCGCCATCTGTCCCTCTCTTCTAAGGAAGTTGTTGAGCTCTGTTTGATACCACCTCAGAGTTACCAGAAAACTCCGGATCGTAGAGTTGTTTGCTTATATCTTTAAAATGGGTACCGTTCGTCATGGCTGTGATTGGGTTCCAAGTGGAAGGAAAACTCGCACCCGCTTATCAGAACACTGATGAAATGCAAACTGTGATAGGATTCGCCCCACTTTACCTAGAAGCGGGTCATTTGGATGTTAGTTACGTGAGTTTCTGTCAAGTGTCTTTGGTTTTCCCACTTTATTCTCATTAACGTAAAAACAAAACGAGTCAGTGATGTGTGAACAGGAAGTTCCTATCAAGCAGCAATCGCCCACTGTGGTACAAACTTCTTCCATTTCAGAGTAGATGCTTGTTCTCCAGTGTTGATTTGTTTCTGTTAACGTGTTCTTCCTAGCATTTCTGATGTTACAGAGCACGATTTGGCTTCAGTAGTTCTTATATAAATCACATTTGACGTCCGAGAAGTGCTGTTGGTGTTGGGAAGGTTGCCGTTTCGTTCGTCTTCGAGTTGTTACTCTCGGTTAACGGGCATTGTCGTGCAGCTGATGTGGTGAATTCCTCAGGGAGACGTCCGACCATCGGAGAAAAGCGTTTGCGAACGTGGGAATTCGACAAATTCGGCATTCGTCGTTTCACAGTTCGAAGAAAGACCTGCTCGCCATTCGAGCTCTGAGTGGCGAACGCCGTGGTCAACTGCAGCGATGATGTTCAGCTGGAATGTCCACAAATTTGAACGTTCACTTCTACTTGTGAGTCTTAATTTTTTCGGATTCGATTATTGAAGTGTCAATACGCTCAATGGTAACATTGTCGACAAGTCGACCAATAAACATTATCTAGTAGAAAATAATATCCTCTATAGTAACTTTATTCTATATATCTTCTGGTAGTGATTGACGTCTAGCCAGATGGGACGCAAGGAATTATCTGCAACAACGACAACAACGATAGCGGGTCACCCAACTATAATTAGCATCTATCAGCACAATAAGAGCGGTCACCAACGATAAACAGCATCTGCCCACAATTTGAGTATGTCAAGAATAAAGGATACGTTGGTATAAACAATATCATATCCTTTCAATACCAGATGGAACACAATATTGTTTATGCATTTGCCACCATAATTGTAATATACGAGGACGACGCAAGGGTCAACAACAGTACCCGTCTGCCCGCCCCCTGAGGCAGTATAAAAGAACCGCGGTCTGCTGGTGAGGCCCAAATGTCGGATTTCCTCCCACTCGCCATCTCAGTTCCCGCCACATACCGTCTTCGTTCACCTCTTGTCATAGAATTGCGTTACCGTACTTTATTGTAGGAAAACCTCTCAGACAGGCACTGATCTTCCCTAGTATACATACTTATCATGACATTGTATCTGTAAGAGTTAAGCAATATTCTGTAGTTTTGTTGTATGATAACACCTCACTGGCTTAAGCATTGTCTTTTCTCTTCACATTCCTCACTACTAGTACGGTAGCTAATTACGGTATGCCATTCGCGCTAACAGCCATCTGGTCCCATTGGTACCCGCGCTACCATATGCTCTTCACCTCTATAGGTTAATTTGTACTTTTATATGAAAGCTCTCTCTCTCTCATATTAACACAATAGCCAATACAATTACTCTCTTACTTTAAGGTATCCTTTTACTGATTGTCTTACGCTTCTTTGGTAATCCTGTTATTAACGCGCTACTTATACTGTTTTTTAGTATCCTCTTTTTGTTATTATTATAATATTGGTATAAACGGTTTAATTACCCAAGTTTGAGATTTACGCTGTGAAGGCAACAACCACAAGACCCGCGTGGCGAAGAACGAGCAAATACAGTTCGTCCAAGCTAGCAGATCAACACTGTGTGGAGCTGCACTCAAAGGAGCAAGTCAACCGCCAAACTCTCACGTGGAACCCTAGTCGTTGGTTCATTGGGCAATCATAGCCTACAGATCAATTGTAGTATCCTAAAACTACGATACCTATTTCTTGACTCTTAAATTCACAGCGTCTCAGACGTCAAAGGGTAAATACCTATATTGCAGAACCATCAAATAATAAGGATCACAAAACAGATCCACTTTCGAGAGTCAAGCAGAGACAACAACTAGTAGATAGTCCGTACGCTATCTAATATTTACTACAACCTAATATTCTCACCACTGAACTACTACTACTAAGTAGTGAGCGGCTCAACGGTCACTACCACGCAAGTGCATCCATCGCAGCCGCCACTATACTATAAACAAGGATTAAACAAGGATTTTCGAAGATATTCGTCTTTCCATCCTAATAATGCCGTGTATTTCAGGTTGCTGTGCAAGATCGGCCGATGCGTTGACTGGGTAGTCGTACGAGGCCGCTGGACCATTATTTCTCTCATGAGTACGGATCCCTCGAGTGAAAGTTTTTGTGAAATGAGAGACAACATCGCTAATCGTGTGGTTATTTTTGATGAAACCTGGTGAGATTCGCTACCTGTAACATTGTTTTTCGTTTTATTAACTTAACCTTTGTATGAATGTTTAGGAAATCCTGGTAATGATGGACCATATGCTGATTTTGGCCTGAAGCTGTTGAGGTGTCTGTTATCGAGAGATGAACGTGTGGGTTATCCTAAACGTTATTATTTATTTCATACGGTATCCCATCTCAATCATGTAGTTTTGCCGGATGAATTGAGGTGTTCTGGGAAGCACAGCCACTGTGGTGAGTTGTTGTTTGTTGAGCTGTTGTCATTCATTTCTCCATGAATTGGCCGTCTTCCCCCTAATGTTGTTATCTCGGCTTCAATAAGACCAGGAGTTCTTAAAAGCAATCCTGTGTCTCTAGAACCATTTGGAGCTTAACCTTGACGAACACTATCTTTCTTTCGTTGCCAACACCTTAGTGGCTGTGTTGATGTCTCCCATTATCGCGGTGTTCAAAGAAATTTCACTATTCACTGATGTTCCTCTTCCGTTCTTTGCAGTTTCCTCCTTCCGCTGTCTACATTTGCTCCAATTTGCTCTCGTGTTTTATTCCGAATTCCTTACTATTGATATTAATTTAGACTTTTTTTGGTCGCCCGTTCGTACGCTCTTTCATTAACCTTCTGGCCTTAGTTTCATGTAGATATGATTTCTTAGACTTCGTTATCCATTCGTTTCCCTTAAGACCGGTTTAAACTCGATGATCAAGTGCAACACAAATACGACCCCGCGCGGGAACACTTGCCTAGGGCTCAGAAGGCAAATGTTCTCGGACACAGCATAGGTGCATACATGATGCTTAGGTATTCGCTTGAGATTCATGCTTCTTTCTAATTCTTCGTGGTAGACTGAACATAACATAACTTTAATTTTGCCATGCATTTTTACTCTAACAAGACATTTGGATATTTGGACGACCCGTGCTCACCGGTTATGCGGGCCCCAGCATAATCTCCATTTTTTCGGAGTTTAGCTGTTTAACTGTTGTACTTCCCTAGAGTCCCTAGGTCAGCCCAGCCAAATTCTGCCCCACATCGTCACTACGACAGGCAGTCGCCGTCCTTGTTTATCAGAGGGATATCTTCCACCATGCGACTAGTTTGATCCCAGGACGATGGCGGATCCTTATACTCTGAGCTGGGCTTTCTAATGGAAACGCTGGACTTCTCAGCTTGGGAGACCATGCTAGGTGAGTGAATACCTCCGCTGTACATCGCAGCCCGACACCCAGGAACACGTCTCAGCCACGATGAGGCAGTAAACCGTTAGGAGGCATAGCTAACAAGACATAACTGAGTACAAACTTGCAGTCGCTTAAGAAGGTCCTGTTGCAAAAAAAGCATCATAGGTGTTCACTTCCGCTTGATGAGCGTCGGAGACCATCATATACTAAATTGCAATTGCACTTGTAATAAATATCCAATTAAATGACCATTCGTGAGGGTCACACTACTCGGGTCTTGTCTCCACCAAGATTGTTGACATCCCAAATGGTTATCTACTTCCTAGTCATATACTATTCATGTTTACATCTGATAGAGCTTTTCAGAAAGGAATGCAACCACAGAATGCCTGGGAGATGTAAAAAGCGAAAAATTCGATATTGTTGAAAACGCACTTCGTTCATTTGTAATGTTCCTGTCGACCTTAGAACAGCGATTCTGCCTTTTTTCGTGTTTCCATTCCGATTTGTCGCATTTTAAGACTACTTCCATATATGAAGGACGACTTCAACGTGAAGAATGCCATGGGGCTGTTTCCCACTGTTGAAAAAATGGCTGAGTCTCCGAACGGCGTGCGCCTTGAACGAGTCCTTGCACAGTTTGTTTTTATCTTTACAGTGATTAATTTCCGACTCTTCCATTTTTGTGCTTCCTTTCGATGTATCGGTTCATATGCAACGAAATCTTCCTCGGAAACCGCTTAATGAGGAAGTGAGATATTGATTCAAGTTCGGGTTTGCTCGGTAGTGCTGGCTTTTATTCTCTTTTGAAAACAGGTCGCAGACAAAGTGCGAGTTATCACTTTCTTGACTTTGGGTAAAAATGGCTGACTTGCCAAAATGGTGTCGTTTTGGTTGGATTGCTTGTCTTCAAAAGTGGAGAAATGGCTAGTTTCGTGGAATCTTAATGGTAACTCGGTACGCTTTTATCCTCCCAGCTGTAGTACTGTCGAATGGTGAAGTGCACTGCAGTTTAGGTCCCCAATGATCTGATCACATCAGCAGCAGAACTCCTTAATATGAACGTCCTTCGAAATATTATTAACTTAGCGCATGATGAGTTGAGTAAGGTGAGGACTTTTCTCAAATGAGCAAAATCGCTATTTATGAGCTGCTTTTAATTCATAATGTCTTTTGTGTAACTGTTTTCGACCACTCACTGATTGTGTGCAAGGAGCTGCTTTGCTTCTACTATGGAGTAGTGGCGGCCGAGTGGTGCCCTAAAGAATTTGGTTTGTTTTGTTGACAGAATTGTCAAACAGTCTCCCTTCATTACTTTGACTAGTTCATAACGGTTTTTACCCGTTTTTTCTATCGTACTAATTGGTCAAAGCTAACCTATAGCTGATGTCGGCTAAACATGTTTCTTTAAGGTACCATATGAAGGGTTGTCTACCACATGGCCTTGTTGTGTTGGATGAAGACAGGTGTGAACATGCTTTTGTGATTCGAGATGGTGCCACTATTGCTGAGAAACTCTCACAGTTCTTCATATGAACTTTCTGAAGGGAATTTGCTACTGTTGTCTTGGTCGTCAGGTGAAAAGTTGGAGGTATTTGTATCGTACAGGCCAGAAAATATACAACTTATTGTTGACGTGTTCCTAACTGATTCTTCTTATTGAAGCTTTTTGCTAGTGCTTGTTATTTGATGACTGATACTAGAAGTGCTGTCCTAACCGTTCAATTTATTCGTCACCATTAGGTATTTCGTTGTGTTTTATATCCTCGAATCCTACGTACTAGTTTTTTTGCGGTTATTTCCTTATTTAGCATTGGTATGATGCTACGTTCTCGTTATTTCTATAGAATTAATCAGTTGTAGTTGAGCTTAGGGTTGTTTGAGTGGGACAAAACGTAGGATCTTATTGTGTTCAGTATTTGGAGGAATCCCTTTGGAAGAGAACAGTGGGTGCGTCAATTTTGATTTGTGATTCTATTAGGTCGAATGCTAAAGTAACCTTAAGTAGAAAGTTTCAAAATTTACTAGATCATTCGCAAAAACCAGCTTCAATTAAACAAAGCAAAATCGTTTACGGAAGCGCTAGCACTAAAAATGTGGTCGATAACGTGCCTGAAAAGTCAAGGGTCACCGTGTTAGGAGGCATAACTCTCACTGATGACGCGCGCTCGCTATTAGAATTGGGTCCAAGTTTCTCACCAGGGCAACCCATTTTTAAAGAAACCTTGCGTAGGATAGCGTGCAGCCTGCACGAGCTCTAAGATCGACTCCGAAGCAACACTAGAATTTAGACACAGAATAGAAAGGAACAACGAGCAGCAGGGGCACTACCACCAGCTCCATTTCCTCGGTTATTCTTTAGACAGCATGACCCAAACGACGAAGTCGATATAAAATTTCGTATTTTTTCGAGCGAAAGTCCTAAATTCCTTAACCACTACCGCGCGAAACGGTTTAGTTCGAACCTTACAGCTACGCAAAAATCTGGTATGCGGCAGGTTCGAGAGCTAATAAAATCAAAAATTATTAGGCTATCAGTTAGTGATAAGGGTGGAGAGTTTGTAGTAATTCCTCGCCAGTTAGATGTCGATATAACAGAAAAACATCTCGAAGACGCGTCTCTTTATCGCGCATCTACTGAAAAGGAATTCAGAAGTCAAAATCGAAAACTGAACAGCGAATGGGTCAAAACGGCAAGCGCAGCAGGTTTAAAACCAGCAGACATTTCGCATCTAACGATCGAAGTGCCGACATGTCCCGTCCTATACTTACTTATCAAGACCCATAAGTTAATACGCGCTGATGATCTGGCGTCTACCGACCCCTCCACTTTTAAAGTGAGACCCATCATCAGTTGTGTAGACGGGCCTACAGATAGAATTGCTTGGTTTATAAACCTAATCCTCAACCAGTTGCTTAGGCACATACCAGCCCATCTAACGAACACCCAAATGTTCCTAGACNGTATGCGACAGGTTCGAGAGCTAATAAAATCAAAAATTATTAGGCTATCAGTTAGTGATAAGGGTGGAGAGTTTGTAGTAATTCCTCGCCAGTTAGATGTCGATATAACAGAAAAACATCTCGAAGACGCGTCTCTTTATCGCGCATCTACTGAAAAGGAATTCAGAAGTCAAAATCGAAAACTGAACAGCGAATGGGTCAAAACGGCAAGCGCAGCAGGTTTAAAACCAGCAGACATTTCGCATCTAAAGATCGAAGTGCCGACATGTCCCGTCCTATACTTACTTATCAAGACCCATAAGTTAATACGCGCTGATGATCTGGCGTCTACCGACCCCTCCACTTTTAAAGTGAGACCCATCATCAGTTGTGTAGACGGGCCTACAGATAGAATTGCTTGGTTTATAAACCTAATCCTCAACCAGTTGCTTAGGCACATACCAGCCCATCTAACGAACACCCAAATGTTCCTAGACCGTCTGCGTAACGCACGTCCCAAAAGCGCGTACGTTATGGAGTCGTTCGACGTTACCGCTCTTTACACTAACGTGTCGAACGACTCCGCAATGCAAGCCATCCGTGAGCTTCTTGAGAAACACGAAGGAGCAATTAACATGTATGGCTTTTCGAATCAGCAGCTTATGGTCCTCCTGAAGGTCTGTTTAAACTGCTCGATCTTCAGATGGTCTGGGAAATATTATGCGCAAATTAGAGGGTTGGCAATGGGACAGCGACTGGCACCAACCCTTGCCGTTGCCTTTATGTCTAAAGTGGAAGCACCAGTAATCGATCTCACGCCATTACTCTACTGTAGGTATATAGATGATTGTTTTGTCATCTGCTCCACACAAGAGGAGATGGACAAATGCTTTAAGTTATTGAATGAACAGTCAGAGTACATAAAATTCACCCGTGAGAAACCGAAAGAAAACTGGCTTCCTTTTCTAAACCTTCAAATTAACCTATCCGAGAACGGCTACAACACAAAATGGTATCGAAAGCCAAGGAGTAAGAATGTAGTGGTTCATTACCGCTCCTCTCACCCCTCACACACTAAAAGGGCGCTTACAAGAAATATGTTTCGAACCACTGCCAGCGTGCACACTGGTAGAAAGCAGAGGGAAAAATCCTCGAAACTGACGCGCCAAATAGCCATTTCAAATGGTTACGAAACTGTAGCTTCTCGGCATAGGCATAGATGAAACCCCACTTCCTAGGGCGATAATTCTAGCAAAAACAATGCTCCGTTGCTCTTGCCCTTTCTTTCAAACGAAATAATTACAGCTATAAAACGTTGCTTAGTAAGGGTCGGTCTAGAGAATTCCGTAACAGTGATAGAAATACCACCGGATACTCTACGACGCCAGCTAGTTCGCAACCGCCGTCTGTGTATAACGAAAAACTTCATAATTTGCGCTAACGGTAGAGACGGTGATTGCATGAGTTCGGATACAGTCTATCTGATCTCTTGTAAAGCGTGCGGGCACGAATATGTTGGCGAAACGGGTAGACCACTCTGCGTCCGCATAAAAAAACAGCTAGTCGGTAAATCTAAATTAAAACAAAATACTCCACTAGGCGCGCATAGGATGCAGGAACACAACGGACAAGAAGAGGTAGGAGTCACTATCCTTACGCAGGAATCGAAAACATCAGCGCGTAGAACTCTTGAAGCGTTTTGGATCAATGCTGAAAATTCAAAAATGAACCGCAAGGAGGAGTGTCTTGTCATCACGCGTGACCTGGTGCCATACCTCAGGCTAATCCAATGACCTAACAGAGAAGACACAGTTATCGCCCATGTATTACTCTGTGCGGCGGCTATCCATCAACTAACTTAAATACTTACGACAAATAAATGGTAGGTGTTTGAATCAAGCTGTTTCTTATGCGAATGCAAATCGACTTGTCAAGTTTTATCTGCTAGGGTTATGAAAGTGTTTGGCTGAGTAGATCGCATCTCAATTCGACCTTTACAGGCTCTGAAGAAGGCGAAACCGCCGAAACGTCAGCTATTGTATTCTAATAAATTCTATATTAACAACCTCGTGTCTGCTTATTGAAGAAAACATTGAAAAAGGAGGATCTTCGACATCTTATCGTTTCTGTGTCTAACTGTGAGTTAGATGGTGCAAATCCAACATGAAACATGTTGTATTCAGTGAAATGGAATATTAGCCTTCGCGTTCGAACGTCGATGTTAAGGCTGACTCATCATCCTCATTAGAAACTGTTCGACGCTTAGTGGAGGTAAGAGGGTATGATTCACTTCGAGCTGCTGTAGAGAAATCAGACAATCGTCAGTGAGCTAGTGTACTGCTAGCAGGTAAGACGTTTCTGGAAAGGATTCCTTCATAGACGTTGAAATCATGGACATAGTGACCGACTCTCTAGCATGACAGTGCCAGCCAGCGTATCGGAAAGTTAAGGAATTTGTGATATAGAAACGGCACTGTGAAATTCTTAAGTAGTTTCCATCACCATCCGTGTCTTTTTGGAATCTTTTCAAGTCCGAGTTCTGGATCCTGGTAAGAAATTAGTTTGCTTAAAAAGACACCATTTTCTTGATATGAAACCAGAGAATTGGCAGACAGTTGTGGAGAAATCATTTGAAGTGATGTCGATTACGCAACTGATTAAAACATTTGAATACTATGTCGGTAGAAAAGGGATTTCATAGTTTAAAAAGTGTAGATACTCTAGTGGCTTGGAAAACTTTGCCTGGTTTGCTAACATAATAGAGACGGTAGATGATCCACAAAAGGTTAATCACAAACAAGGACAGTAAGATTAGAAAGTTTTGTCAAATAACTGTAACAAAACCACAGTGAGGGAGGCGCGCGCAGCGCAGCGGTTGGAGGTGTCCTGCCTTAGACATGGGATCGGTCCCTACGCCACCAACTCTTCCATCCTTTCATGGTCTACAAATTGGTAGCAGACCTGGTAGAATAGCGGCGCTGGCCCGATACATTGTTAGGCCACCGCGAGTCATTTTAAAGGGCAGATATGCATTCAGTCACCTTTAACTTTCCTCAATGAAGTTGAATGCATAGCGCATCGCTCAGAGCTTGATCAACGCCGAAAGCCTTATCCTTCAAATGCTTTAGAGCTTTTAATTATAGTGATGCTAAGATATTTGAAAAAC